CTTCAGATATACTGGACCGAGGCCGTTTAGGGCTTTAAAGGTCAGCACCAACACTTTGAATTGTGCTCGGAAACGTACTGGGAGCCAATGTAGGTCTTTCAGGACTGGTGTTATGTGGTCTCGGCGGCTGCTCCCAGTCACCAGTCTAGCTGCCGCATTCTGGATTAGTTGTAGTTTCCAGGTCACCTTCAAAGGTAGCCCCACATAGAGTACATTGCAGTAGTCCAAGCGAGAGATAACCAGAGCATACACCACTTCGGCGAGACAGTCTGCAGGCAGGGAGGGTCTCATCCTGCGTAGCAGATGGAGCTGGTATACAGCCACCCTGGACACAGATTTGACCTGCACCTCCATAGACAGCTGCGAGTCCAAAATGACTCCCAGGCTGCGCACCTGGTCCTTCAGGGGCACAGTTGCCCCATTCAGGACCAGGGAGTCCCCCACACCTGCCCGCCTCCTGCCCCCCCAAAACAGTACTTCTGTCTTGTCAGGATTCAACTTCAATCCATTAGCCGCCATCCATCCTCCAACCGCCTCCAGGCACTCACACAGGACCTTCACCGCCTTCACTGGTTCTGATTTAAAAGAGAGGTAGAGCTGGGTGTCAGCCTATCTGGGCAGCATCCTGATCTGCCAATGGCCAGCCAGATGCCTGTTGAGAGCCCGCAAGCAGAATCCAAGCACAAGAGCCTTCTCCCTTCCTGTCTTTTCCCCAGCAACTAGCAATTCAGAGGCACAGCAACCTTGCCAGTAGCCATCGATACCCGCCTCCTCCTCCACGAATCTCTCCAACCCTCTTTTAAAACCATCCAAATTGGCAGCTGTCGCTGCCTCCTGTGGCAGCGAGTTCCGCTGTTTAACATCGCCCTGTTTGAAGAAGGGCTCTCTCTTCTGCCTGTCCTGGGTCTTCCCAACCACATCTGCCATCCCGGTGAAGATCTTCAGCATGCCTTGGTTGCGTGCAGCAAGCGTTCGGCATTCTGCGCAGGCGAAATGGACAGTTGGTCTGTTCAGCGGGGGTCCGCCTCCTCTGCCAAAATGCGTTGGGTTGGAGGGGGAGAGGGCAAAGATGCAGAGATGTGGACGGTGGAGGCAGGTTGAGGGGAGCAGGTGCGAGGATAGGAGGAAGGAGGCCTGTGGAGCGTTGGCGGGGAGAGATGAGAGCAGTTGTAGGGTTGGCCGGTTTCCCTGCCTCCACCCCATGCTCAGATGTGGTTTTTTTCTGACTTGCAAACACACATCAGAGGCAGGTGTGGAAGGGATGGTGGCTACATAGCTCTGTCGGGGGGGGTGCGTGTTGTTGTGAAGAGGAGAAGAGAGGATTGGACTTCCTTGCCTTCAGCCAGCAACCTCATTTGAACACAGGGACAAAGAAGGATGTCTCTATAGGGCCAGGCTAGCTGAAAGGGCCTATTCCCTCATATAATAAATTATTATTATTATTATTATTATTATTATTATTATTATTACTGCTCCTGCCAACCTAGCAGTTCGAAAGCACGTCAAAATGCAAGTAGATAAATAGGTACCGCTCCAGTGGGAAGGTAAACGGCGTCTCCGTGCGCTGCTCTGGTTCGCCAGAAGCGGCTTAGTCATGCTGGCCACATGACCCAGAAGCTGTATGCTGGCTCCCTTGGCCAGTAAAGCGAGATGAGCGCTGCAATCCCACAATCAGCCATGACTGGACCTAATGGTCAGGGGTCCTTTTACCTTTACCTTATACATCGCCCATCTGGCTGGGTTTCCCCAGCCACTCTGGACGGCTTCCAACAAAGTATTAAAATACAGTGGTCTGTTAAACATTAAAAGCTTCCCTAAACAGGGCTGCCTTCAGATGTCTTCTAAAAGTCTGGTAGTTGTTCTTCTCTTTGACATCTGGTGGGAGGGCGTTCTACAGGGCGGGTGCCACTACCGAGAAGGCCCTTTGCCTGGTTCCCTGTAACCTTACTTTTTGCAGCGAGGGAACCACCAGAAGGCCCTCAGCGCTGGACCTCAGTGTCCAGCAGAACGATGGGGTGGAGACGCTCCTTCATACAAACCTTCCCTGGGCTCTGAGACATTCGGGGAAGACCCTTTTCTTGGTCCTGCCATCCTCACAGGCATGCTTGGAGAGGGCCTTCTCGGTTGTGGCTCCTCCCAAAAAACTTTGGAGCTCCCTTGAGCAGGCTTTCCCAAACTTTCGTCTCCAGCTGTTTCTTGGACTACAGTTCCCCTCATCCCTGACCAGCGGTCCTGCTAGCTAGGGATGATGGGAGTTGTAGTCCAAAAGTAGCTGGGGATCCAGGTTTGGGACACCCGGCCCTAGAGCATCCAGACTGGCTCCTTCTTTGTCGTCCTTCCACTACTGGGCCTTTCAACAGGCCTTTGGGAATGGACTGGGGTTTTTGTTTTTTGTGGGGGGAGTTTTGGAAAGGGCTTTTAAGGGCTGTTCAACAGTGGAACGGTCTCCCTCAGTGGGCTATGGACTCTTCTTCATTGGAGGTTTTTAAGCAGAGGCTGGATGGTCACCTGTCATGGATGCTTCAACTGAGATTCCTGCATTGCAGGGGGTTGGACTAGATGACCCCCAGGTGCCCCTTCTGACTATGATTCCATGAAATCACCACTTGGCCATGAAGCTCACTGCACTGCAGTATTGTTTTGGGTTTTTTGAGTTGTTGTTACTGTTTATTTTTGTATCTTTATTTTGGATCTTTCAATTTAAGTGGAGATTCTAATGTTTCGTTTATGACTCCTTTTGCTTAGCGGCTTTGGTGTGTGTTGCAAGCTGCCTCGAGTATGGTTTTAATATTGGAAAGGCGGCATACAAATTGATGGATTGATTGATTGATTGGCCTCTGGTCTGTCGCTGCCACTCACCCTAACCGACCTCACAGGGTTGTTGTGGAGATGAAATGAGGAGGCAGGAGAGCCAAGTACACTGCCTTTTGCTGCCTGGAGAAAAAGCTGGATATAAATGCGGTAAATAAACAAAGAGAGTAGGTAGAGGATAGCCATTGTGGCTGGAAACCCTTGGAAGCCTCCCTGAATTTACATCCTGAATGGGGTAACTGTGCCCCTGAAGGACCAGGTGTGCAGCCTGGGAGTCATTCTGGACTCACAGCTGTCCATGGAGGCACAGGTCAATTCTGTGTCCAGGGCAGCTGATTAGCAGCTCCATCTGGTACGCAGGATGAGACCCTCCCTGCCCGCAGACTGTCTCGCCAGAGTGGTGCATGCTCTGATTATCTCCCGCTTGGACTACTGCAATGCGCTCTACGTGGGGCTACCTTTGAAGGTGACCCGGAAACTACAATTAATCCAGAATGCGGCAGCTAGACTGGTGACTGGGAGCGGCTGCCGAGACCACATAACACCAGTCTTGAAAGACCTACACTGGCTTCCAGTACGTTTCTGAGCACAATTCAAAGTGTTGGTGCTGACCTTTAAAGCCCTAAATGGCCTCGGTCCAGTATATCTGAAAGAGCATCTCCACCCCCATCGTTCAGCCCAGACACTGAGGTCCAGCTCCGAGGGCCTTCTGGCGGTTCCCTCCCTGCGAGAAGCCAAGTTACAGGGAACCAGGCAGAGGGCCTTCTCGGTGGTGGCGCCCTCCCACCAGATGTCAAAGAGAAAAATAACTACCAAACTTTTAGAAGACATCTAAAGTCAGTCCTGTTTAGGGAAGCTTTTAATGTTTAATAGATTATTGTATCTTAGTGTTTTGTTGGAAGCCGCCCAGAGTGGCTGGGAGGACCCAGCCAGATGGGCAGAGTATAAATAATAAATTATTATTATTATTATTATTATTATTATTATTATTATCATCCTCTGATATTATCACTGGGTCCTTCGTACACCAGGTGCGAGAGAGAGAGAGGCCTTTGCACAAATGAAAGCCAGGCCTGTCCTCCTTCCAGCACCGAGGTTGGTGGGCGTTTTCCTTTTTTTTGCAAATCAAACAGCCCTCCGGATAAACCAACTCTAGCATGTCAGGATCGGAACTTGTTGCCTGCTGTGAAAGCTCTCTCCTTCGCACATGCCGCAGATCTCTTGGCTCAGTCCTGGGCAGGCTTTGCGGAACAACTAATAAGCCAGAAGGATGTATTTTCTCAAAACAAAGCAAAACACCTTCTTATCTTGTCGCTGGCAAACAGTCAAGGCACGTCCCTGAATCACCGGAATGAAATACAGTGGTTCTTAGGTGATGGGTTTCTGCAGGGGGGGAAGAGAGCCGTCCTGAAGCCCTTGTCGAGACGTCACCAATAAATATTAAAACAAGCCAGTGTGAGGGTGCGTGAAAGCTACTTGAGCAGCGCATTTACCTTGCACGAGGGCTCTCCACTCTGCAGTCATTATTCCCTACTTGATGTTCCTTGTTTCAAGCAAGCTGTAATGCGGAGGCAAAGATCTTCCGCTTTCTTAACCCGGCCCCCTCCCGCCCCTTTCGCTGGTTCCAGTCGCTGCCGGAGTTAAGCTGCAGGACAGTTGCAGCAAGAGTGTACCCTCCAACATTTCTGCGATGGAAATGGGGACGTCCTCTATTGTTGTTGTTGTTGTTGTTGTTGTTGTTGTTGTTGTTGTTCTTATACCCCAAACATCTGGGTGGGTTGCCCTAGCCACTGGCTTCCAGCAGATATGAGTGTTCAGACCCCTGGGCTCTCACTTGTGGGGTGCCTCAGGGTTCTGTCCTCTCCCCCATGCTTTTCAACATCTACATGCAGCCGCTGGGAGAGATCTTCAGGGGGTTTGGGCTGGGTGTACATCAATATGCGGATGATACCCAGCTCTACCTCTCTTTCAAATCAGAACCAGTGAAGGCGGTGAAGGTCCTGTGTGAGTATCTGAAGGTGGCTGGAGGATGGATGGTGCGCACCACCACCAAGAAGGCCCTTTGCCTGGTTCCCCGTAACTTGGCTTCTCGCAGCGAGGGAACCGCCAGAAGGCCCTCAGAGCTGGACCTCAGTGTCCAGGCTGAACGATAGGGGTGGAGACACTCCTTCAGGTCTACTGGGCCCTTGAGGCCATTTAGGGCTTTAAAGGTCAGCACCAACACTTTGAATTGTGCTCGGAAATGTACTGGGAGCCAATGCAGATCTCTCAGGACCAGTGTTATGTGGCCTCAGCAGCCGCTCTGAGTCACCAGTCCGGCTGCCGCATTCTGGATTAGTTGTAGTTTCCGGGTCACCTTCAAAGGTAGCCCCACATAGAGTGCATTGCAGTAGTCCAAGCAGGAGATAACTAGAGCATGCACCACTCTGGCAAGACAGTCTGTGGGCAGGGAGGGTCTCATCCTGCATACCAGATGGAGCTGGGAGACAGCTGCCCTGGACACAGAACTGACCTGCACCTCCATGGGCAGCTGTGAGTCCAAAATGACTCCCAGGCTGCACACCTGGTCCTTCAGGGGCACAGTTGCCCCATTCAGGACCAGGAAGTCCTCCACACCCGCCTGCCCCCTGTCCCCCCAAAACAGTGCTTCTGTCTTGTCAGGATTCAACCTCGATCTGTTAGCCACCATATATACTGTGTATATATGGACTTTACTTGGATCAAGAGACTTCTCTTCTTTAAGTTCTCAAGGCTGTCATCTGAACTAGCCAGATGTGTAACTGAGAATCAATCACAGTGAATATCATTTGAAAAATAAGATTTCAGAGCTGTCTCACTCCCAAATGGCAACCAGACATTCCGTTTTTGGTGACAGTAACCTTGGTTGCAGTCCTTGCAGCCATTTGGCACCTCGCTTATATATCTGAGTTTTTAACACTGAGTGCATAGCTCAATGAGGATGTTGACCTAGTGTGCGGCAGCCGTGCAAAAGGCAAATCTATACTAGGAATCATTAGGAAAGGAATGGACAATTAAACCATCAGTATCATAATGCTATTATACAAATCCCTGGTGTGACCGTGTTTGGAGTATAGTACTGTGCTCAGTTCTGGTCACCTTGTCTCAGAAAGGATATTGTATAGTTGGAAAAAGGTTCAGAAAAGGGCTGCCAAAATAATCAAGGGGGTGGAGTAACTCCTTGAGGGGGAACGGTTGCAGCATTTAGGACAGGGGTCAGCAAACTTTTTCAGCAAGGCGCCGGTCCACTATCCCTCAGACCATGTGGGGGGCCAGACTATATTTTTTGGGGGGAGGGAAATGGACCAATTCCTATGCCCCACAAATAACCCAGAGATGCATTTTAAATAAAAGCACACATTCTACTCATGTGAAAACACGCTGATTCCCGGACCATCCACAGGCTGGATTGAGAAGGCGATTGGGCCGGATCCGGGCCCTGGGCCTTAGTTCGCCTACCCATGATTTAGGACTTTATTGGTTTAAGGAAAAGGCGAGGAAGAGGTGGCATGATGGGAAATTATCACATGATGAAAGCGATGGAGAAAGAGGGTAGAGAGGAAAGCATTTCTCCCTCGTGGACATCCAATAAAGTTGGATGTTGGAAGATTCAAGATGGATAAAAGGAAGTCCTTCTTCACAAAGCTCAGAGTCAAGGAGGCGGCGAGGGCCACCAGCCTGAGAGCTGTAAAAGACGATCAGCGAAATTAATGGAGGAGGAGAGTGCTATCGATGGCTACTAGTCCTGATGGCTGGGCTCTCCCTCCACTACTCTGGCTGTGATAGTAGTAGTAGTAATAATAATAATACTTTATAATATATACCCCGCTCATTTGGCTGGGTTTCCCTAGGCACTCTGGGCTGCTCCCAGCAGAATATAAAAACACACACCATAAAACATCAAACCTTAAAATCTTCCCTGTACAGGGCTGCCTTCAGATGTCTTCTAAAAGTCAGATAGTTGTTTATTTCCTGGGAGGGCATTCCAAAGGGTGGGCGCCACCACCGAAAAGGCCCTCTGCCTGGTTCCCTGCAACCTCACTTCTCCCAGGAAGGGAACCGCCAGAAGGCCCTCAGAGCTGGACCTCAGTGGAAGCCACAGGAGGGGAGAGGGTTCTTGCGCAGTGACGTAGCGTGGGGGGCCACAGGGACGGTTGCCCCGGGTGCAAAATTGTTAGGGACGCAACATATCAACACCCACTGCTGCCTTAATACAGCTGCATGTTTCCGCTGCTGAACGCCATTGAAAACAACTTCTTCATGCGAAGCAGGAAGCAACCTCTCCAGACAACGGAACGACTCTTCTTTTTGTATATTTTATCTCCTGGGTGGCATGGATGCCATTAGGCAATTGAGTGCGCATGCGTACTCTGTCTGTTTCCTTCTCTCCCTCCCCACCCTTCTGAGCAGCCCTGGGCACTGGCAACCCACGGTACACCACTGCTCTTGTTCTCAGGTCCTCCTTGTGGATTTTCCTTTGGGGCACCTGGTTGCTCCCCTGGAGAACGGGATTCTGGACTAGGTGGGCCATTGGCCTAATAATAATAATATTTTATTTTTATCCTGCCCTCCCCAGCCGAAGCCAGGCTCAGAGTGGCTAACAACAGTAAAATAATACTGCATTCTAAAATTAATTCATTATAAAATCAGTTCAAATCAAATTGATGGCAACCATTGGGCTAGAGTTCTGTGAAGAATTACCAAAGGAGGGGGTCAGGCTGTGCCTTGGCCAAAGGTCAGGTGGAACAGCTCTGTCTTGCAGGCCCTGCGGAAAGATGTCAGGTCCCTCAGGGCCCTGGTCTCTTGTGACAGAGCGTTCCACCAGATCGGAGCCACAGCCGAAAAAGCCCTGGCTCTGGTTGAGACCAGCCTAACCTCCCTGTGGCCCGGGATCTCCAAGATGTTTTTGTTTGAAGACCGTAAGGTCCTCCGTGGGACATACCAGGAGAGGTGGTCCTGTAGGTACGAGGGTCCTAGACCGTATAGGGCTTTAAAGGTTAAAACCAGCACCTTAAACCTGACCCTGTACTCCACCGGGAGCCAGTGCAGCTGGTATAGCACTGGGTGAATGTGATCTCGCAGCGAGGACCCTGTAAGGAGTCTCGCTGCGGTATTCTGCACCCGCTGGAGTTTCTGGGTCAGTCTCAAGGGCAGCCCCACGTAGCGTGAGTTACAATAATCCAGTCTGGAGGTGACCGTCGCATGATCACAGTGGCGAGGTCAGGGCAAGAGAGATAAGGAGCCAGCTGCTTAGCTTGGCGGAGATGAAAAAATGCCGCCTTGTTATAGCTGCAGTCTGCGCCTCCATGGAAAGGGATCCAGCTTGTTCCTCTTGTGTTCTTAAGAGGAGTGTGGCTTGGGAATGTTGCAGGAAACCCCCCCCCCCCACCCAGTCATTCAGTTTGTACAAACACGGCACACACATTCACACACGACATACGCAATGTTTCTGTTATAAATTCATAGTAAATCAACCGTACATCGGATTTACACCGGTCCACTTTTATTTTGCTCCATGGAGGAAGGACTATCAAAGGGGGAAGGTTTGATACAGGGTGGCCATAATCCCTTAACCATACTAACATGTACTCAGGAGCCCTGCCCAGTTGGCATGGCAACCTTGATGGTCCCAGACAGAAGACCATCAAGGACACAACGGACTTGTATGTGGGAGTGGATTCAACAGGGACTGGAACAAAGGACAATGATCAGATCTTCCCTCTGGGGGCAGGAATCTGCCAACTCCCCTTTGTCCTCTGGAAATGATAATAATAATAATTTATTATTTATACCCCGCCCATCTGGCTGAGTTTCCCCAGCCACTCTTGGACGGAAATGACTGATGGGGAGGGGGAAAGGAGGAACCAGCCAGGTGACAAGATACTCAGGTTACTTCCACAACTCCTCCCTCAAGCCCTCCTTTTTGTGATGTGTCAATGATGTAGTCGTGATGTAGTTGTGATGTAGTTCTAGGGGTGTAGCTTGGAGGATTAGTAGCTAATAAAAGTTGGTGTCTTCTTTTGTTCTGGACTTCCATCTTGCTTCAGCTTGTTGTGGGTGGGAGTCCTGTCGGGACAGTTTCCAATAAAGGCCAAGCCTACAGGCTGCTGTTTTACGCCAAATTTTCCTGGTTGGTGTCTTTGTCTTTTTGCCCAAGGGAGCCCTCGGATTCCTCCGTTAACAAGAAGAGGAGAAAGGGAGTAGGGCTCCTCCGGGCACTGAAGTCAGGAGGCAGGAGGTGGGAGGAAAAGAGGCCATAGGGACTAGCACCCTGCGTGGAGTGCTAATGATTTTAAGACGAGCCCGCAAAAGCTTTTAGGAGCCCATCTGCACCAAAAGGCCAGCGGCTTCAAAGTATGGAGATGGCAGCCAGCCTCGGTTTTCTCTCCCCCGCCGGCCCCGCTCTCCTCCTCCCCAAATCTCCATCCCTGCCTGGCCATTTGAAATGTCACGTCCTGAATTCAGCAGCCGGCAAGGTTTCCAAAAACAACACGAGGCTCTGGGATCGATAGCGCAGGAGCATTCAACGGAACCGCCATCAGAGTCCAGGCAGGGAGACGTAAATCAGGCCTTGAGACAAACCCATTGCAAAGATTTAGATCTGCTCCAGGCTCTCCTCTGAGCTCCTTGTAACAGTAGTTTGGCCAGGCAGGCTGGATGGATGGACGATGGCCAGAGGGGGGTGGACAGTGCTACCTAAAGCTCCACCTGGTACACAGGCTGAGACCCTGCCTCCCTGGACTCCCTGGTCCTGAATGGGGCAACTGTGCCCCTGAAGGACCAGGTGCGCAGCCTGGGAGTCATTTTGGACTCACAGCTGTCCATGGAGGCGCAGGTCCATTCTGTGTCCAGGGCAGCTGTCTAACAGCTCCACCTGGTACGCAGGATGAGACCCTCCCTGCCCGTGAACTGTCTCGCCAGAGTGGTGCATGCTCTAGTTCTCTCCCGCTTGGACTACTGCAATGCGCTCCACGTGGGGCTACCTTTGAAGGTGACCCGGAAACTGCAATTAATCCAGAATGTGGCAGCTAGACTGGGGACTGGGAGCGGCAGCTGAGACCACATAACTCCAGTCTTGAAAGACCTACATTGGATCCCAGGATGTTTCCGAGCACAATTCACAGTGTTGGTGCTGACCTTTCAAGCCCTAAACGGCCTCAGTCCAGTATCCCTGAAGGAGCATCTCCACCCCCATCGTTCTGCCTGGACACTGAGGTCCAGCGCCGAGGGCCTTCTGGCGGTTCCCTCATTGCGAGAAGCAAAGCTACAGAGAACCAGGCAGAGGGCCTTCTCGGTGATGGCACCCGCCCTGTGGAACGCCCTCCCAGCAGATGTCAAAGAGAAAAATAACTACCAGACTTTTAGAAGACATCTAAAGGCAGCCCTGTTCAGGGAAGTTTTTAATGTGTGATATCTTAGTGTATTTTTGGTCTTTGTGGAAGCCGCCCAGAGTGGCTGGGGAAACCTGCCAGATGGCCAGGG